CTTTCTGAGATATAAGGTGAAAACCTTGTCGCTATATTTACGGCCAACCCTGTAGAACGTGAAATGCTAGAAAGCTCATATGAAACGCTTCACGAAGGAGGAAGCATGAAAAAGCATATCCCGCCGTTCGGAGCGGGGACCTCGTTTGGCAGCGAACTATAACCAGATGCTAATCTGGTCTATCGTATCGTACCTGTTCGTAGGGTGGGCCGGTGGGGATCAAACACGAAACGTAAGCCGGAATGGGGAGCTACTCTCCCAAAAGGCGGGGTCAGCATGACCGCTATGCGACACGCTTCAGCTCCTGCCCACATGCTGACCCGCCGCCAACGTCCCGTCGTACAGGACCGCCTTGGCGGCGATGCTTGCGTGAACTACAAAACTCCATTTTCGTCTCCGATACTCTACGACGAAACCTCTGTTTTGTCATTGTTTCGTCAACCAACACAACGGAAAGTTTAAAGCCCTGCGGGGGTCAGATTATTGGGAAGAATGTCAAAATTCCTGACACTGGAATGTTCATCCTTCTCACTCACAAGGACCGAACTTGTGGAAAGTGTGTCGTTATAATCTCGACTATTTCCTTTGATACTGTACGGCCCTTTTATTTCAGGAGATAATCTACCTGAACTTAATAAGGATGTAAGTCCCAAACTTTATCAACTGGACCAACGGGTATGCCCACACTGCCTACTGGCTTCGCAGTAAGGCCGTAGCTTCTAATACAGAACAATTTTCGGACAAACCAAATCTTCTGAATCTGTGTCTTAATACGTACCGTTTGCACATGATGTTGACAGCGTAGCTAATGAGGGGCTCCCCACACCGTTACGCAGAAGCTGCCCTTACTACTAATAAAGCGACGAAGATTGCGAGTTGCTATTATTTTGGATCTCCACCTAGTGACAATCAATTCTCTAACTGTTTGAGCTAGAGTGGCTCTCGTGGCCTTCGCTGCTCTTTTTCTTACCTACTCTGTTAACCTTAGGCTCTTTTTGTTCCCTGCTCTCGGCTATTTTAATGCCGAATTGTTTCGAAGTCTTCTCGATCACCACACGAAAGTAGCGCATAGAAAGAATGTACAAAACTGAAAAATAACCCAAATAACCCACGCGCGTTCTTCACCTATGCGGAAGTGGCCGTCACCCCCGCTAACCTTTCTAACTACTTTTCATTATGAACGTATACAAGATTCACAATTCTCGGCTCTGGTAACGCCGGATAACTCACATGGGTTCTTCGCATCAATGCGGAATAAGCCCTCAGGGCTGCTGACCTTCCTGACTACTTCTCAGTATGAACGTATACAAAGATCAACATTCTTGGCCCTAGTAACGCCGGATAACCCATTCGGGTTCTTCGCCAGTGCCGGATTGGCCCTCACGGCCGCTAACTCTTCTAACTACTTCTCAGTACGAACGTATACAAAATTCACAGTTCTCGGCCCCGGTAACGCCGGATAAACCACTCGGGTTCTTCGCCAGTGCCGGATTGGCCCTCACGGCCACTAAATTTTCACACTATTTCTCAGTACGAACGTATACAAAATTCACAGTTCTCGGCCCCGGTAACGCCGGATAAACCACTCGGGTTCTTCGCCAATGCGGAATTGGCCCTCACGGCACTAAATTTTCACACTACTTCTCAGTACGAACGTATACAAAATTCAACATTCTCGGCCCTAGTAACGCCGGGTAACCCACTCGGGTTCTTCGCCAATGCGGAATTGGCCCATACGGCACTAAATTTTCACACTACTTCTCAGTACGAACGTAGACAAAATCCACAGTTCTCGGCCCCGGTAACGCCGGATAAACCACTCAGGTTCTTCGCCAATGCGGAATTGGCCCTTACGGCACTCAATTTTCACACTACTTCTCAGTACGAACGAAGACAAAATCCACAGTTCTCGGCCCCGGTAACGCCGGATAAACCACTCAGGTTCTTCGCCAATGCGGAATTGGCC